TACTGCATGTAACAGAGAAGTTGAGCTCGATCACTCGTGTTTTCTTAAATCCTGTAGTGATGCTGCAGCTGCGTGTTCCCTCCCCCACAGCTGAGGCGACATGATTACCATGAGCCCGTCGAGCGGGGGCCGCATCTTCGCCGTGTACACCATCTCGTCGTACGATCGCCGGTGGAATATTAAGTACATCAGAAACGTCTCTTTAACCTTCTCGCCCTTAACGGCCCCACCTTCTTTTTTGTTGAACTCGGAGAAGAGTATCGAGGGGGATTTGAGGAAGGACGGCTTTGGCGTCCTCGACTACTGACGTGACATGCCATCCTCTGGTGGGGGAGGGGGGTCGACCGAGCGCTAGGCGAAGTGAAGGAGTAGGAGCATGCGTTGAGGGGGGAGACGCCAAGGAGTGAAGGCTACTGCCTGCGATCGTTGTAGGAGTTATAGAGCTTAGGTACCAGGGTTTTAGTGAGTCAATGTGGGAGACCGTGAAGGCGAACTGTGATGACGTGGAGCAGCCCCCGTCATTGGATTTTATCAAGAGAAAGAGAGAAATGGTATTATGGTCTTCACATGTTTAAAACTCTTAAGTTTTGTGTTTTGGAGGCTGAGGGAATTATGAGTTTACTTTTGGGGGTTTGGGGAGCATTGAAAAAGTCTTGGGGGTGGGTGGAATACTTGGACTGGTTTTGGGGGCTAGAGATAATTTCCCCTAAAAGAAAAGTAACACTTTTGATTCTATCCTATATGTGTGTCAAGATTTGTAAAAATTCAAGATTTGTTCTTAATAATTTATTGTACATTGAAACTAAATTAGAAGGACTAAATTGGAAAGATGTAATAACATTCTAACTACCATCCACTACTTGATAACTCTTCCACTCTCCACATTTTTCTAATAGTAAGATACTTTATATCGTTTTTGGCAATAATTTGATAAAAACTATTCATATTAGTATTGATTATGAAGGTATTAAAAATTACTATTTATTGCACGCATTTCGGGCACCGGAGAACTAGTTTCCTATAATTTTTTTTGGTTAGTTCCTCAAAATCAAAAGAAAAAGTGATATGGTATCTTGTTATTGGATGATATGACTCAATTCCCAAAAAGCATATTTCACAAAATTTTCTTTGTCGTAATGGGAGGAGACCATTTGTTGGAGTTCCTCCCCCATTTTCCTTTTACTTGATTTTCAAGAAATCAATCAAACGTGATATTATGATAATGTACTAGATTTAAAATTGGTTTATAAATATAATGGCAAAAATATTAATGACTTGCGAGATATGTTTGAGGATTTATGTTCTTTTGAGAAGCCACTGGGGGATGGCTAGTTAATCAACGACTATGATATA